GTAGTTATCTAGCCTGGGTTTCAGGCCCTAGATTTGGTTACTCAGTTTTTATTGCAGTTATTGCGCGCCATACCAAACTAAATTGGCGTCAAATGCTTGATTTCTTATTGTCATTGAATTAACTCACACGGTGGTGGCGCTGTCTAGAATGAGAAAAAAATATTGTGGAAAGTCTAGTGGTTGTCATATAAAACATTGAGAATAAGCGAATCCGCAAATGAATTTCACAATCTTTTCACAGGCGTTGTGGAAAAGCGCTACATTTTTCATTACTGTGCCTTTTACACAATTTAATGTTGGTCACATAAAAATTATGAGGACGACTGAATGTGTATAAGAGAATGACATTATGGCATCCACTGTAAGCTTATGAATCTGTGAAAATTAGCCAACCATGATAAAAAATCCATTAGCAATACCTTTCTGGCATTAAGATATTTATTAGCAAGACTTCACGCTTTGATTTTTTAAATAAATATAATATCAAGCATCGTCAAAATAATCAAATTGCTACGTACATGTATAATAAAGTTTTAAGTAGATGACTGAGTTATGAGTTAGATACAAGAATGAAAACCATCAGATGTAATTTCAGTTCTTTGTAAAGAAATTACAGAAAATGGAAAAAATTTTATATTTAGATTACAAGTAAAAATTAAATTGATGAGCAACAAACAAAAGTAATAAATAATATATTCATTCTATACAAAAAAAACGAATTTGAAGACTTAATGATTAGGTGAGGGTGTTAGCTCGCAAAATAAGGTTATTGAGGTGATTTTAACAACTTTTGCATGTGATTTTTTTGGGGAAAAAATGGGGGCCCACATGTATATTTTTTTAGAGGAGTGCTTCCCGGCACACCCCTAGATATGCTACTGCCCTCTTCATAGGTATTTTACCTTCTGTGAATTAAATATCATGGATACTGTAGCAATGACTCTCAAGCTAGTAGCGACCAACAAACCAGATGATATGGTTTTTAAATTAAAGTGTATAATAATAAGTAAATATCAAATTATATTCAATATCGGAACAGCCTGAAGGCATTATGAATCCTTATTAAAGCATATTGTGCAATGGTATCACTTCATTTCATGCTTGATCGAGAGGCATGGTGCCTGGTCAACTGTGACCAGCCATTACCAGGTACTGTACATCCATGTTTGCGCTGTACATTGACGTAATCTGGTAAAGCATATAAATTAACAAAATTTGATTCCATTATTATTAACAATTAATGTTGTATTTTGTGTGCCAAATCACTATCACAAAAACACTTAATAAAAAAATTTAGAGTACATTAAAAAACTAGAATAACAAATTCAAATTCTGAATTTCTTATATTTCTCATTTTTCGATTGTAAACTAGAATAGGAAAATATATTACTATCAAATTTTATTTGACAAAAACATGTGACATGCCTAAATATGGTCATGATGACATCACATCATGACCATATATAGGCACAACATGACTATGTATATGGGCATACAACAGATTTTTTGTCAAAGAAAATTGGATACTGTGGAGAGCATAACAGATGCATAAATAATAATACTTCAATTTTGTAGTGAAAATCTGTAAAAATCACTGATTCAATGTTCTATCTTAAATATGAGAGAATTTTTTTCATACTTCTACAACAGACCATACAATATACAAAATTCAACTACTGTATTACGATCAGCTCTTCAGAGATAAGAGGGTAACGCTGAAAAATATTTTCTAAATAAAAACAAAACAAAAAAAATAATTACAGTAGTCAACAAATACAGTACAGTACAGTCACTGTAGCTTACAAATTTCATCCAAGTACAGCAAAAAAAATTTGTAAAGATATGAATTTATATTATTATGACACAATATGGTACTTCATACATTTGCTGTTTCAAATTTCCCAATAAAATATTTACAATTAATGTCATAAAATGTTGCAATTACATTAATGGATTGCAGATGAGATACAATAGTATACTCTTGACTCATAATTCTGATTACATCTCATTTTGTTGAAACTATGATACAACATAAAGAACATGTAGTATCAAAGTATTGCAAAATTATACTGCTTTTATGGAATCACTGTTTTGGATGGAAACAATAAAGTGTCACAAGTACCAGCCCCGCTGCTGCTACCACCAGGTGGCTCATCCAAATGAAAATTGCAACTGCAGCCATTAATTATTGAGAAGTACTACTTGTCCGCTCCAGTCAACTTATGGATCATTTGTGTAATGTGACCAAGTTTTTCAAGTTCTCCATTTAATTTCGCTATCGTCTCCTCTTTGCTTGCAATGGTTGCTTCGCTCTTTTTGCGAAACGCACTGGCCTGAGAAATGAAAAAAAAAATATTAAGACAAGATTGTGGACAATAACTGGATGATGATTGATTCTGCCTCTTATACACATCTAGATGTGTATAAGAGACAGCTGTAAGCAGGCCCTAGATTTGGTTACTCAGTTTTTATTGCAGTTATTGCGCGCCATACCAAACTAAATTGGCGTCAAATGCTTGATTTCTTATTGTCATTGAATTAACTCACACGGTGGTGGCGCTGTCTAGAATGAGAAAAAAATATTGTGGAAAGTCTAGTGGTTGTCATATAAAACATTGAGAATAAGCGAATCCGCAAATGAATTTCACAATCTTTTCACAGGCGTTGTGGAAAAGCGCTACATTTTTCATTACTGTGCCTTTTACACAATTTAATGTTGGTCACATAAAAATTATGAGGACGACTGAATGTGTATAAGAGAATGACATTATGGCATCCACTGTAAGCTTATGAATCTGTGAAAATTAGCCAACCATGATAAAAAATCCATTAGCAATACCTTTCTGGCATTAAGATATTTATTAGCAAGACTTCACGCTTTGATTTTTTAAATAAATATAATATCAAGCATCGTCAAAATAATCAAATTGCTACGTACATGTATAATAAAGTTTTAAGTAGATGACTGAGTTATGAGTTAGATACAAGAATGAAAACCATCAGATGTAATTTCAGTTCTTTGTAAAGAAATTACAGAAAATGGAAAAAATTTTATATTTAGATTACAAGTAAAAATTAAATTGATGAGCAACAAACAAAAGTAATAAATAATATATTCATTCTATACAAAAAAAAACGAATTTGAAGACTCAATGATTAGGTGAGGGTGTTAGCTCGCAAAATAAGGTTATTGAGGTGATTTTAACAACTTTTGCATGTGATTTTTTTGGGGAAAAAATGGGGGCCCACATGTATATTTTTTTAGAGGAGTGCTTCCCGGCACACCCCTAGATATGCTACTGCCCTCTTCATAGGTATTTTACCTTCTGTGAATTAAATATCATGGATACTGTAGCAATGACTCTCAAGCTAGTAGCGACCAACAAACCAGATGATATGGTTTTTAAATTAAAGTGTATAATAATAAGTAAATATCAAATTATATTCAATATCGGAACAGACTGAAGGCATTCTGAATCCTTATTAAAGCATATTGTGCAGTGGTATCACTTCATTTCATGCTTGATCGAGAGGCATGGTGCCTGGTCAACTGTGACCAGCCATTACCAGGCACTGTACATCCATGTTTGCGCTGTACATTGACGTAATCAGGTAAATCATATAAATTAACAAAATTTGATTCCATTATTATTAACAATTAATGTTGTATTTTGTGTGCCAAATCACTATCACAAAAACACTTAATAAAAAAATTTAGAGTACATTAAAAAACTAGAATAACAAATTAAAATACTGAATTTCTTATATTTCTCATTTTTCGATTGTAAACTAGAATAGGAAAATATATTACTATCAAATTTTATTTGACAAAAACATGTGACATGCCTAAATATGGTCATGATGACATCACATCATGACCATATATAGGCACAACATGACTATGTATATGGGCATACAACAGATTTTTTGTCAAAGAAAATTGGATACTGTGGAGAGCATAACAGATGCATAAATAATAATACTTCAATTTTGTAGTGAAAATCTGTAAAAATCACTGATTCAATGTTCTATCTTAAATATGAGAGAATTTTTTTCATACTTCTACAACAGACCATACAATATACAAAATTCAACTACTGTATTACGATCAGCTCTTCAGAGATAAGAGGGTAACGCTGAAAATATTTTCTAAATAAAAACAAAACAAAAAAAATAATTACAGTAGTCAACAAATACAGTACAGTACAGTCACTGTAGCTTACAAATTTCATCCAAGTACAGCAAAAAAAATTTGTAAAGATATGAATTTATATTATTATGACACAATATGGTACTTCATACATTTGCTGTTTCGAATTTCCCAATAAAATATTTACAATTAATGTCATAAAATGTTGCAATTACATTAATGGATTGCAGATGAGATACAATAGTATACTCTTGACTCATAATTCTGATTACATCTCATTTTGTTGAAACTATGATACAACATAAAGAACATGTAGTATCAAAGTATTGCAAAATTATACTGCTTTTATGGAATCACTGTTTTGGATGGAAACAATAAAGTGTCACAAGTACCAGCCCCACTGCTGCTACCACCGGGTGGCTCATCCAAATGAAAATTGCAACTGCAGCCATTAATTATTGAGAAGTACTACTTGTCCGCTCCAGTCAACTTATGGATCATTTGTGTAATGTGACCAAGTTTTTCAAGTTCTCCATTTAATTTCGCTATCGTCTCCTCTTTGCTTGCAATGGTTGCTTCGCTCTTTTTGCGAAACGCACTGGCCTGAGAAATGAAAAAAAAAATATTAAGACAAGATTGTGGACAATAACTGGATGATGATTGATTTATGCAAGTTAATAATGATTACAAAGCAGTACAAACAATGATAGAAATAAAAGAATGAATTGAATTTTGATCTGTAAAGTATAAAATCACACTATTATTATTATTATTTTGTAGTTGTATTGTTTTATTTATACATGGTTTTTCAGTATTACTATTATTATAATGAATACAATTATTTGTATTATTGCATAATTAAATAATAATTACTGTAGCTAGAAAAAGGTTATGGAGGCTGTTAGCACTAGTTTTTTTCCTTATTGTTGTCAAATTGACCAGGCACTGTACACGGTAGATTTTGACCAAATAAAGTCCAATCTAAACAAGGCTTATAGCTTATCAAATTTTACATGACAATTAATTGTGATATGCTCATATTTGGGTGTGATATGACATCACCATGCCCCTGTATAAGCAAATCACAAACATAAAAAATTGACAGTGTGAACAGAACAATCATAAAACCCTGTTCACACTATCAAATTTTACATAACAAATAATTGTGATATGATCATGTTTGGGTGTGATATGACATTATCATGCCCCTATAATTGTGATATGCCCATGTTTGGGTGCAATATGACATCATCATGCCCCTGTATAAGCAAATCACAAACTAGTTCAGACTATCAAATTTTATTTGACAAAAACATGTGATATGCCTAAATATGGGCATGATGACATCACATTATCACCATATACAGGCACATCACGGCTGTATATGGGCATACAACAATTTTTGTCACCAAAAATTTATAATGCGAACAGACTTATAGAACACCAAATATTCAATCAAATTTAATGTTGCCATGTTTAGGAGCTTGGGGAAAAAAGGATGTATTCCTGTAGTGCATTCTAACCTTTTTAGCCTTACACAATATTCATGTTGGAAAATGGTGAACCTAGATTCACCTCCATTTTAATTATCACTTCATATCTTCCGCTATAAATTTGAAGAGAGTATAACATCTTTTGGATCAAGTTGCTCATTGATTGATCATCAGGGATTAGCATGCTAATCAATAGATCCTATTATTCAAGTCATGACAGATCTGTTTAATGTTTTACAAATATGGTGCGACTCAAACGGGAGATGTAAATTCACAGATTTTAATTTACTTTTTCAGTCAGGTAGAGAAATAATGACCATAAATTTAAAAAGGCTGCTGTTTACAAATGCAAAAATTTGAGGTTCTAGTCTTCTAAAGAAATGAAAGTTCACATTTATGTATTCATAAATGGATATCTGACAATTGAAAACAGCATCAAGTTAAAAAAAAAAGTTATGATACTTTTAAGGACTTTCCTATTGAGAGCTTTTATATGATATGATAATTTGTGTAAGATGAAAACAACAAGTTGAAAGCTAAATATCTGTTTAGTTAGTTAGTACAGGTAAAAAGCATTTATAATGCGCCTTCCTTGAGGTTATGAAGCAGACTTCTTTTTCCTAGTCATTGGGTACGCATGCTTTAAGTGTTGCTGCTGTTAATCAGCGCAGCAGCAGGCAACCCTCCCAGGTACCCATTTAGACTCCTGGGTGGAGAGAAGCAATGCAGATGATAAAGTGCCTTGCTCAAGGACACAAGCGAAATACACAGCGAGAGATTGAAACCCTCACCTCAATGTTGGGAAACCGAACCGTCCCCACTGTGCCAAACCGCTTAAGTACAGCTGTACTTAGTCTTATTACCAATCAGGTGAAAGAGTATTATCACCATGACTTCCCTTATCAAATTAATTACTTCCCGTAAGATCGCTCGCCTACAGGCATTACACAAGTTATCATTCCCAGCGGAACGTCATCATGGACTTCATGGAGCCACCCGACTGATTTTCTCCTTCACTGGTTATGAGTGTGCTCGCAAATGTCATGAAGATGTCATGGTTATTCATGTGAAAACTTCACAAACCATTGCAGAGGACAAGCTAACCAATTTCTAAAGAGAGCTTATAATCAAGGCATAATTTAGCCCAAATTAATGGACAATATTGATCTGATGACTTTGCACACTCGGCAAACACAACCAGAATTTGTTGTTACTACTACAAACAATTCCAATACCGAAGCCTCATCAATAATGAAAATTAGTTTCAGCAGCATGGCAAATTTTATAGCCATAAAGCTTTGACTAAAACTTGTATGATTTGTCCATATAGTGTATGGGCATGACATATCATTATCACATCCAACAGTAATGGACAAATTAAAGGTACAGTTTGTCGTATAAAAGACATGCTAGAGTGACAGAAGGGAGGTGATAGAAATTTTTTAATATAAAATAAAAAAATATAATTAAAAATCTACTAAGAAAACAAAGAAAGTAGCCAAGTACTTTAGAATGTGTATTTTTCAGAAGCAACAACTGAACATTTGTTAAGTAGAGGATAATCACTAATTGCATCTTTCATTTCAAGGCTGTACTAGGTCATAACATCATTCACCATCCACTAAAATGACTGATTGTTATAATTATCATATTCCGGCTCATAAACAACACTGACTTTAAAGTAGTTATACTGTTTAGCAAGTGCTTAAAATAAAGACCGAACTAAGAAACTATTGCTGAACAAACATCATCATCAACAGTCATCGTATTCTCATCCTTGTCATCATCAGTTTGACATAGTTTTGAAATGATTTACGCCTGTATTCTTAAAAGGAACTTTAGTCAAATTTCAATCTAGAACTTCATTTAGTCCAAGTTGCAACTTAAACTTATTTTTGTATTCATAAACAACATAGTTCTAACTACGACTAAATCAAGTCCTAGTTTTAGTTGGCAAGCAACGACTATCAAACTAACCAATGAAGAGAGCTCATTTTTGCTTAATTTTCTATATTAATCGTTAACTTATAACGATAGAGAATTTGAACAGTCACTGGAAATATGCTTCCTTGGGAGAACTACTGTATAGTTGATTCTGAGCGAGGGCAGCGCCATCTTTGTTGTTATGGTGTAGCTATGTGACCGCAACGCGTGGGGATTCAGGAACTATCGCATGTGACTAGCAAAACATGTTAATTTCTCCTTTTGGAAGTTAAACTTGATGTCTCTTTTGTTTAACACACCGAAGTTATATCAGACCTGCGTATACAATCGTTTCTATTCGTTTCACTTTATCCGAGTTACAAAAATCACGTTTTTAGTAGGGTAAATATTTCAAGTCGGCGATTTAGACTGTCCCTAGGCTGACTAAAAAAATCAGCCTGCGGAGGTGTCATTTTAGTCAAGGTTCGCATGATTTAGTCGTAGTGCTATTTGAAGTTCGTTTTAAGAATACAAAATGACGTAATTTCGAAGTTTTAGCTCAAACTATGACTAAAGTTCATTTTAAGAATACCGGGGTATATCAGTCTATAGTGCCCTGTTCGCAGTCAGCCTATTGGTGTTACACTCAAGAGTTTTAACAAATGTTCCAGTAGGCTGCACATGGTTCTAAGAGCATAACATTTTGTCGTATTTGACCTATTTACTTTCTCGATTTTTTAGATACAGTATTCTAATTTCTTTTTGCAATTATTTTACTGTTTTATTCATTATTTATATAATTCAACAATACAGTTACATGCTTCTGAAGCAGATTTTACCCTACAGAGAATAGAGAACATTGTTCAGAGCCTCATACAGATTAATTCATATGGGAATTTTGAATGTACATAGATGATACTCATACTGACAGACAACCCAAGTGAATGAACCCCCAAGGCACTAATTACAAAATGAATGGCAGATTGGCCTAGACATCACCAGAAGATGTGTATAAGAGACAGATGCTAGAGTGACAGAAGGGAGGTGATAGAAATTTTTTAATATAAAATAAAAAAATATAATTAAAAATCTACTAAGAAAACAAAGAAAGTAGCCAAGTACTTTAGAATGTGTATTTTTCAGAAGCAACAACTGAACATTTGTTAAGTAGAGGATAATCACTAATTGCATCTTTCATTTCAAGGTTGTACTAGGTCATAACATCATTCACCATCCACTAAAATGACTGATTGTTATAATTATCATATTCCGGCTCATAAACAACACTGACTTTAAAGTAGTTATACTGTTTAGCAAGTGCTTAAAATAAAGACCGAACTAAGAAACTATTGCTGAACAAACATCATCATCAACAGTCATCGTATTCTCATCCTTGTCATCATCAGTTTGACATAGTTTTGAAATGATTTACGCCTGTATTCTTAAAAGGAACTTTAGTCAAATTTCAATCTAGAACTTCATTTAGTCCAAGTTGCAACTTAAACTTATTTTTGTATTCATAAACAACATAGTTCTAACTACGACTAAATCAAGTCCTAGTTTTAGTTGGCAAGCAACGACTATCAAACTAACCAATGAAGAGAGCTCATTTTTGCTTAATTTTCTATATTAATCGTTAAAGATGTGTATAAGAGACAGGATCATGTTTGGGTGTGATATGACATTATCATGCCCCTATAATTGTGATATGCCCATGTTTGGGTGCAATATGACATCATCATGCCCCTGTATAAGCAAATCACAAACTAGTTCAGACTATCAAATTTTATTTGACAAAAACATGTGATATGCCTAAATATGGGCATGATGACATCACATTATCACCATATACAGGCACATCATGGCTGTATATGGGCATACAACAATTTTTGTCACCAAAAATTTATAATGCGAACAGACTTATAGAACACCAAATATTCAATCAAATTTAATGTTGCCATGTTTAGGAGCTTGGGGAAAAAAGGATGTATTCCTGTAGTGCATTCTAACCTTTTTAGCCTTACACAATATTCATGTTGGAAAATGGTGAACCTAGATTCACCTCCATTTTAATTATCACTTCATATCTTCCGCTATAAATTTGAAGAGAGTATAACATCTTTTGGATCAAGTTGCTCATTGATTGATCATCAGGGATTAGCATGCTAATCTATAGATCCTATTATT